CCTGGGCACCAAATGTCGGTAATACTCTCCAGTTACTGTAAAAACCAACAGTGCCACATCCACCACCCCCATTTCCAAAATCTCTCCCTGGACTAGTGTTGGCCATAGTTAAGAACCACTGAATCTTCTCATTTTATCAGTTGAGGCCCAGAGAAGGGAAGGAACTTGCCTAAGTCACAGACAGGACACATAGCAAACAGCCACAGAAGATTTATTGAAAGTCTATTACGCAGGGAGACTTACAGGCGGAGGGAGCACAGTAAATACAAAATGTGACCTGTGTTCTCAAAGAGGAGGGGAAGAGAGTGAAAGAACTACTATTTATTAGGGACCTATTGCATTCTAGCCCTTTCTAAACCTTTTCACATTATCTTTGCAACGACGCTGAGGAAACTTGAGTCGCACAGAGATTAAGTGTGGAAGCAGAATTTGAACTCAGGCTTTTCTGACTCCAGAGCCTGTCTTTTCACAATTACCTTTCCAGTGTGTGTGTAAACACAGAAACTAGTGTTTTAAAAAGTTATCCCAAAATGGAGAAAAGGTAAAAGATAACCATGTCTCCTTTCAGGGTCATACAAGGGCGCTACCTAATAAGCCGTCCTACCTGGTTCTCTTTGTTGTGGTCCGAGAGCGGGTTGGAAAAGAATTTCCAGATACAAGGCAGAAGGTAAGGAAGACAGAGTTTTTGCTGCAAGGACAGCAGGCCGACTTCCCGGTAGCCAGGGAAAGTCGACCATGAGCACGGGTTGCTTGTCTGTTTTTATAGCCAGGGAACAAAGGGACTTCTGAGTTGCCTGCTGATTGGGTAGGGTCTGCATGTTTCCAGTGGGATGAATACCTTTCTGTATATGGGACGGGAAAGGGGCAAGGCGTGCTGCTTGGGAAAGCTCAGAGATGTTGAGTAGTTGCTGCGTGACAGAGTGCTAAGGGTCTGGTAAGCCTCTGTTCCGGTGACGTTGGCCCTTTGAGTTTATCTTGTTCTTTGCCCTTGGAGCACACCACACTCTTGGCAAATGTGACTGTGTTTAACTTACTGTTTACTGTTGTTTAGGGGCCAGGCTCTGTGAAGTTAGAGATTAATTGATAAAAAACTGAGAAGGTGCAAATTATTTTTGTCTGGTAAATATGTAAATGCTTTCTGTCCAGTGGAGACAATAACCACAAAGGTTGTGGTTTTATTGCCCTGTAGGACATTAACCACGTGTGTCTAACTTAGCAATTTTATCCCAGCAGTTCTTTCTTTCACTGACTTATACATACATCAGCTTCTCATATCCTCCTTTGAATCAGCTGTCATTCTTTTGGGTGCTTCAAAAATGATTTAACACGGGCTTCCCTGGTGGTGCAGTGGTTGGGAGTCCGCCTGCCGATGCGGGAGACACGGGTTCGTGCCCCAGTCTGGGAGGATCCCACATGCCGCGGAGCGGCTAGGCCTGTGAGCCATGGCTGCTGAGCCTGTGCGTCCGGAGCCTGTGCTCCGCAACGAGAGAGGCCGCGGCAGTGAGAGGCCCGCGTACCGTTAAAAAAAAAAAAAAAAAAAGATTTAACATTAAATCTTTGACACAGGCTCGCTATATAGTTGTATGAGAGTTACGTTCTTTAACTCTTTGAGAATTATGTTTTGAAAGTAGCACAATCCAATAAGTGACGGACTGCTATGAAGTAAGCATGAAACTCTAGGTGCTATGGGGACATACAAAGGATGAGAAGAGTGAGCCCTGGGGAATCAAAGGAATTCTTGAGCGGGGCCTTGGAGAAAGGGTAAAATTTGAACAGGCAGAGAAGGGAGGGCTTTCCAGAAGGGGTTGCAGCATGAGGAAAAGAAGAAAGAAGTCAGGGGTTTTTGTAGACGCTACTATTAAAGGAAAGGCACCTAGTTTGGTCTTTTTCCTCAGGTCATGCTCCTGACCTTATAGGATCCAGAATGTGAAGATTAAAAAGAAAATGGACCACTGTAGAAGCTCAGTAAGGGCAGGAATTTGAACTATTTTTGTCAACAGTGTACTCTTAGAGCTTGGACATAGTAAGCCAACGATGAGTGCTTGTTGAATGACTAAGGTGATCAAAAGAAAAGAATATGATTAGCTTCCATTAACTGACCACTTACTATGTGCCAGACACTATGCTAAGCTCTTTTGAAAAAATTTTTATTTTATATTGGAGTAGAGTCGATTTACAATTTTGTGTTAGTTTCAGGTGTACAGCAAAGTGGTTCAGTTATACATAAACATGTATCTATTCTTTTTCAGATTCTTTTCCCATATAGGTTATTACAGAATATTAAGTAGAGTTCCCTGTGCTATAGAGTAGGTCCTTGTTTATCTATTTTATATATAGTAGTGTGTCTATGTTAATCCCAACCTCCTAATTTATCCCTCCCTTGCCCCACCTTTCCCCTCTGGTAACCACAAGTTTGTTTTCAATGTCTGTGAGTCTGCTTCTGTTTTGTAAATAAGTTCATTTGTATAATTTTTTTAGATTCCATATATAAGTGATATCATATGGTACTTGTCTTTCTCCATCTGACCTACTTCACAGTATGATAATCTCTAGATCCATCCATGATGCTGCAAATGGCATTATTTCATTCTTTTTTATGGCTGAGTAATATTCCATTGTATAAATATACCACATCTTCTTTATCCATTTATCTGTCGATGGACACTTAGGTTGCTTCCATGTCCTGGCTATTGTAAATAGTGCTGCAGTGAACATTGGGGTGTGTGTATCTTTTTGAATTATGGTTTTCTTCAGATATATGCCCAGGAGTGGGATTGCAGGATCATATGGTAGTTCTATATGTAGTTTTTTAAGGAACCTTCATACTGTTCTCCATAGTGACTGTACCAATTTACATTCCCACCAACAGTGCAGGAGGGTTCCATTTCCTCCACCATTTGTTATTTGTAGACTTTTTGATGATGGCCATTCTGACCGGTGTGAGGTGATACCTTATTGCTGTTTTGCTTTGCATTTCTCTAATAATTAGTGATGTTGAACATCTTTTCATGTGCTTTTGGGCCATCTGTATGTCTTCTTTGGAGAAATGTCTATTTGGATCTTCTGCCCATGTTTTGATTGGGTTGTTTGTTTTTTTTGATATTGAGCTGCATGAGCTGCTTGTATATTTTGGAGATCAATCCCTTGTTGGTCGCATAGTTTGCAAATATTTTCTCCCATTCTGTAAGTTGTCTTTTCATTTTATTTATGATTTCCTTTGATGTACAAAAGCTTTTAAGTTTAATTTGGTCCCATTTGTTTATTTTTGTTTTTATTTTCATTACTCTAGGAGGTGGATCCAAAAAGATCCTGCTGCGGTTTATGTCAGAGAGTATTTTGCCCATGTCTTCCTCTAAGAGTTTTACAGTGTCTGGTCTTACATTTAGGTCTTTAATCCATTTTGAGTTTAGTTTTGTGTATGGTGTTAGAGAATGTTCTAATTTCATTCTTTTACATGTAGTTGTCCATATGCCAAGCTCTTTACATAAATAATTCCATGAGACACTTACATTGATGATATGAAGCAGATTTTCTTATTTTTCAAATTAGGTCCAGCCTATGGCAAAATGGTTGCATGAATGATTTTTATCTTTGGGGCTCCTTAACCCTTTCCCAAAGGGCACAGAATCCAAGACTTATGATTATTCTTCCCACTGCCCAAACTCTCTTCCAGCCTCCCCAAGCCCAGTGGTGTCAGTGCCATTGGAACAAACTGGTCCTACTACTGACCAGCAACTGATGTGCTACCAGGAGAGTCCCAGATGGACCGCTGGGTAACCTGGACCCATGTGTATGTAAGTACTTGCTCAATTTTGATGAGGTGACAATCACTGTTATCCTTGGGTTTCTTACCTACAGGGAACCCTCATGTTGTGGTAGAAATTTCAAACTAGAAAAGAAGGAAAGGGTTTCTGCTTCTACCCCTAACCCATGTGGGAAGAGAACTCTGGATCCCTTTTGACAGGACTGCCTCTTTCTGGATATTAGGATGGTGTGCCAGACATAGACATGTATTGCTCAGATTCCCTCTTCACGAAAGGGCTCATTGTGCAGCCTTGAGGAGTGTGGTTGGCTCACAGCCACCACTGTTAACTGGTTCAGATTGGCCTCAACTCCTGAGCTGAGGTAGTGGTCTTCTTGGGGTGGCCCCATCCAATGACCGTGCAAGACTGTGGTACAAGGTCCCATCCATTTCTGCCTAACACAAGACTCTTCTCACACGCTCAGAGATCCCTGCTGGGCTGACAAAGACTTTGTCAGATCTATGTCATGGTCTGGCAACTCCCCTTCCCTAATCCCATTTCCTCCTTTTTCCTTTCACAAGTGTTACTCCCAGTAAGCCTTTTATACTCCTAAATCTGTCTCAGGATCTGTTTTCCGAAGGACCCAGATGACATAGATGGGATGCTGTTAGCTCCAAGCAACCTTTCATCGGTGAAGAGAATGGATATTTTAGAACTGGATTTGAGCCAATACCAGCAGAATATAATCACCCCGGGTGCTAGGGACCAAGGACTACTTCATGTGGCGCATGAATCAAATAAGCTCTATTTCTTGGTATTCTTCTTGGCACTGACTATGTCTTGCTATTATATAAGATGGCTTGAATGTTCCTACTGGCTTTCTCAATGAGTGATTTGTTCAATTAATTAAGAGTGTGACTAAAGACAAGGTCACTAAGTCCGTTTCCAGTCAGCTGTTAGTTTCAATCAAGTTACCTGTTATAAATGGATTGTTATCTGGTCATATATGGACTCCATAAGCCCTTTACCCATGCTGAGTCATGACTTAGGCTAGTTGTTTCTCAGCCTCCTGGCAGACTGTCACCCTTCCCGTGGGTCACTTATAAAATGTTCTGTGCAGTATTTTGGTTTGGGGCAAGGAAGTCTTAATGTGGTTGGTGACCAGCTACTTAACTTGCGGCCACAAATGGGAGGGCATAGTTTTTGCTTTTTTGGTATGGAAGCATCTCCTAATTCCTTATTAGAAGAGCAGTACTCCTCAAATTATCCATTCATTCATCAAATATTTTTTGACCAAGAGAGAGTTGCTACTTGCCCTTCCCTTGATCAGACTCACAGCTACATCCCTAGCGTCACATTTTAGGGAAATCTACATGCAGCTTCTTCAGTAATAACTACCAGCCAGACACACCTGAGGGTCTAAAGCAGTACTTATTCCTCTTCCATCTGTCCTTCATGCCAAAGACATCAAGCCTCAACCTGTGTCATGGAGTCAATAATTATAGGGGCTCTGGGATCAGATAGTCTTGGGTTCAAATATGGGTTCTCCCACTTCCTGGAGGAAAGGTGGTGCCTTGTGGACAAAAAACTGGACCCAGAACAGATATAAAAACAGAGGCCCTGGGGAGAGAAGCCACCATCAGGGAAAGACTCACTCCCAGTGACTACAGAGAAGACAGCGCTGTCCCCTGCCGAGATGAAGCTGCTGTTGCTGTGTCCGGGGATGACTCTAGTCTGTGCCCACAAGGAAGGAAACCCTGGTGTTGTGAGAAGCAACTTCAGTATTTCAAAGGTAGGGGCAGTGGAGAATAGTGACTTTGGATTTTGGGGGGTGGTTTGGAGGGATCTGAAACAAGATGACCCTCCTGGAGGGCAGCAGTTCCTTGACATATTAGGCAAAAGGGGTGATTTCAGACCTTAGACTAAGGGCAGTTGTGCCATGTTAAAAGATGACAGCACTTGGGGACCTCCATTCTCACTGGAGGGACAGTTGAAAGAGTCCTAGGTGTGTGGTGCCAGTTGACCTGAGCTCTAATTTCATCTTCACATCACCGTGATGAGTCCTGGCCCACAGGCCAGAGTTCAAGGAGACAAGTGTTCATGTTGTATCTCTTTCCTCTTTTCTCACCCAATCATTTTATTGATTTATTGCAGATTTCAGGGGAGTGAGATTCCATTCTCTTGGCCTCAGACACCGAAGAAAAGATAGAAGAAAATGGTAGCATGAGAGTTTTTGTGGAGCACATCCATGCCTTGGAAAAATTTTCTTTGTTCTTTAAATTTCATACAAAGTAAGTGGGTTTTTTGCTTGGGAAAGAAAAACCAGAAGCCTGAATATGGTCTTGGACCTCTAAACACACACAAACACACACACACACACACACACACACACACACACATATACATACATTCTGGGCCTGTACCTAAATTCAGGGTCCATCATCTGGCACTGATTTGGGGTTTGGTGAACCTGTGGCTTTTCTAGATTCAGAGATAAGAATTGGTGACAGGCATGAATTTAAACGGGAGTAGAGGAGGTAAGGGGTAGAGGGGTATCAGAATCATAAGTAGTGTGGCAAGACAGCATAGGTTAAGAGCACAGGATTCAGAATCAACAGCCTATCTCGTTCTTGAATCTATATGTGTGACCAAGAAAATTCATCTGTTTCTTCCCCAATATTCCCTAGAGTAAAAGAAGATGATAATAATTGTCTCTCATGGCTTTTTGTGAGGACCAAGTGCGGTTATGTTCGTAAGGCACATATCTAAGAGGCTGGCACATGGTAAGAACCCAGCTAATTCTCTAGACGAGTAGCTATCGTAATAGTAATAGTGGGAAGTAGTGGTAGAGTAATAGTAATAGAAGTAGTTGACTCATTCTCAAAGCAGCAAATAAAGTGAATAATGTAAATAAAAGTTCTTTGGAAACTATACCCAAAAATGTTCAACAGTTCATCAGTGGAATCGTAAACTCAAGTTACAGGTAGAGTGTGAAGGAGCCAGCGCCATCAGTATCTCTTGGGCATCGGCTCATTCTGTTTTACAGGGTAAGTGGAGCATGTACTGAAATGTCTTTGCTTTCTGACAAAGCAGGAGAGGATGGTGTACATAGTGTTACCTGTAAGTATGCAAAAAAAAAAAGGTCTTTCTAAATTCTACTTCCAACTGCAAGGAATTTGCTAAACCCCAGTATCTTCAGGATCTTGGTCAGTTCCTGATATGCTTGTTTAGGTAATACATTGGGGCCATCTATAGCCGATATCCTGAATTTGGGAGAAATGTGTGTGTAAAAGCCAGTGCCTGGCACACAGTACCATCAGGTATAGAAGGCAGTTTGGTCACATGTACCTCCTGCAACAAAAGAAAATTGGCACCAAAAAAAAAGTAACTTGGCAGGACAGCTTCTCATTCCTTGCCCGCTTTCTGATGATGTCTGATGGCCATTGCCACAGCACATTATTCGGGACACAGCCCTGGGTATATAATGCAATGGGGCTTATAGAGAAGACAGAGACACACAGTTGGCAGAGACGGCTGAGGGAGGGTAGGTGAGTTTCAGGGAGCATGATAGAGGGAAAGCTGCTGCTGTGGCTGAATTTTTCTACCCCTAGTGGTCAGTCTACCAGCGTTCCTTAGAAGTTGCCTCATGAATCCCAGAGAGATGCAAATGGAAGGCAGTAGATATCACTCTCTATTTCTTCCAGGATATGCACTTGAATTTGTTTTGTGGGAGAGAATAGGAAGTGAAAGGGTTTCACTTCCTTCCCATGGACCAGAGGAGTTCTGAGCTGTGTTCTGTTTCCTCCACAGACGATGAAGACCATAAATTTCGCATACTTCAAACGAACTATACTGAATATATTATGTTTTATCTCATGAATGTCAACAACAATGAATCATTCCAACTGCTGGAGCTCTACGGTAGAGTATTTTCATGCTGACACTCATCGTGGGGTGGGGAGACTGGGGAAGGAAGGAAGCCTGGAGACAGAGTGGTCTTCCCAATCTTATCCTGGGATGACATCTCTCCTCCTCTAAAGATAGATGCTCACCTTTGGTAAAATTTCTCAGGCTCAGTGTTGGGAACATGAAGAATCTCTCATCATGCCAGAAAGATATCCTAAAGATGTCAAATTCAAGACAGGTTGTGGGAACATATGTATAACTGATTCAGTTTGTTATAAAGCAGAAACTAACACACCATTGTAAAGCAATTATACTCCAATAAAGATGTAAAAAATAAAGAGAGATTACATTTAAAAAAAAAATTCAAGACAGGTTATTTTTTCATCCCCAAGACTTCTGCCTAAGCACCCAGTCAGTACCATTCATTTTCCCGTCTGGCTGGAGCCCCGCCCCTCTGATGAGACTCAGTGACCAATAAACAAAACAAAGCAGTTACTGTCACTCTTCCCACACCCAAGAACCAGACGGGAGCCCAAAATCATGAAAAAGTTTGTGAAAATTTACCAAAAATATGGGATTGTTAAGGAAAACATATTTCTACATGTTTCCATATCACCAAAGTCGGTAAGTTGAGCTCTCTCTGGCTTTCTTTGCCTAAATTCCCATTTTACTGAATGGGAATGTTCCTGAAGGGAAAAATCCAAGAGAAGTTAATACCCCAGTCAGTCCCCTTTGTCCTAACCTGGAGAATCATCTGGTTTCATTCTGGGAAATAAACCAGGGTTGGTATTTGAATGTGCTCTTCTCTGCCTCTGTAGATCACTGTCTCCAGGCCCGAGGGAGTGGAGTGGCCCAGGCCTCCAGGTTGGTGAGCTCTGCTGGAGAGGGGCTGGCTCAGGGATCAGTGCCTTCCAAAAGCATTAGGGTTTTATGTCCAAAGATTACAATGAAAATAATTTGGTAAGGACGCTTTTTGGGAGAGCTTGAAATTTGGAGTTGGAGGACCTGTGTTCAGGATCCACTCCTGCTATGAGCTCTTTGAGCAAATGATGTAGCAATTAAAAGGGAAACAATGATGTCTACCTTATAGAGTTACTGTGTGGATGTAATGCTGGAGAAAAGGGCTCAGTAATTGATAATGTGCTAAAAATCATGACTTAAAGTTTTAAATGGGAAAAGGGTGTGAGTGTGAAACTCAAATACATCTCTGTGTTTGTGGTCCATCTTCCAAGCCCAGAGGACCATCTTACCCTCCAATTTATAGAAAAATTTTCTTCCTTCAATCTCTTCCTTTATTCCTGCACATCCTTAACTTCTAATCTGGGAATAGAGTTGTCTGACCTTCCAGTTGTCTTCCAACCTGGAAAATAGACTCTTGAGTTTCCTCATCTGTCTCCTACCTCAGATTTATTGTGGGGCTTCATTAGCAACTATGGATTCCATAAAGGAAGCACTTAGTAAAAGATTGCCATTGCTTTTGCCATGATTCCTCAATTTGTCAAAAATTCTTTAAAACTGCCAATGCTGAGATTGGCATTGCTAAGATCCTTCATTGCTTCTTTTCTTCTTTTCATAGACTCAACTGGGGGAAGGTTAAGATGGGATCAGCAATAGAAAAAAAAAAAAGTCATTTACTTAACACCCTCCCTACCCCTATTCTGGCAAATAACATGGGTTGGAATGCAGGTTGATAACTATTTCTTCAACATTTTTTTTTTGTAATAGAAATTCTCTTTGTCCTCAGTTCAATCCGAGAAGCACCTAATGAGTCTCGGTGTTCTTGCTCTCGTCGGCTTATTTAGCACTGGGTGAGTGCCACCTCACTTGGGCTCCAGGATCTTCTCTTCCACGGTCCCCACATCATCTTGCGACAAGTTCTGTGACCTGATTTCCATCACTATCGCACGTGAAGGCATCAACTCTGCATCTTCAGGATCTCCCCTAATTATCTAGGAAGACTCACCAGCTCACCACAAATCAAAGTTTCCTGCAAATTTCTAACTCTCTTTGCCATATTCAGCACAACAGTACCATGAATAAGACCTTCCTCTACCTGGTCAATAAATGACTCACCTTTCAGTCATGTGATTTGTCTTTGTTTATGTTAAAGAGATGTGGGGTTGACAGGAAGCAAATGAGGGGACTTCCTTGGCCCTGTGTCCATAATCTTCCTCTAGCTTCTCAGAATCTTCCCTGAGTTTCAGGATTCTCCCTCGTCTGCAGTAATTCTCTGTCCCCATGAGTGCTACTTGCCTTTTGATTTGCCCATTTCTTAGTGACCTGGTAAGACAAACTATAAGACTTGCACTATAAATTGCTCCATCCTAGAATTCTCTTTTTCAGTGGGGGTACTGAGAGATAGATGCTGCTGGGGCTGATACCAGCTTGATATGTTTCAGAATATGCCCTTATACCCCAGCTTCTCTAACTCATCCGTCCTATGAGATGGTCAGTGTCCCTTCTTTCTTTTCTTTTCTTTTTTTTTTTTTGGTATGGCAAATGCTTTTATTTTGTAGAAGCACATCTATGGTATCTAAGTTGAAAATTACCATGATAAGATGCTGTTAGTTTCTGAAAATCTTCATTTTTTTAATTTTATTGAAGTATAGTTGATTTACAGTTTTGATTTCTGCTGTACAGCAAAGTGATTCAGTTTTACGTATATACATTCTTTTTCATATTCTTTTCCATTATGGTTTATTACAGGATATAGAATATAGTTCCCTGTGCCATACAGCAGGGCCTTGTTGTTTATCCATTCTATATATAACAGCTTACATCTGCTAATCCCAAACGCCCATTCCATCCTCCCCCAGCCCCCAGCCCCCTTGGCAACCACAGGTCTGTTCTCTATGTCTGTGATTCTGTGTCTGTTTCATAGATAGGTTCATTTGTGTCATATTTGTTTATTTATTTATTTAATATTTATTTTATCTGCTCCAGGTCTTCATTGTGGCACGCGGGATCTTCGCTGCAGCATGCGGGATCTTTAGTTGCAGCATGTGGACTTATTAGTTGTGGCATGCAGACTCTTAGTTGTGGCATGCATGTGGGATCTAGTTCCCCAATCAGGGATCGAACGCTGGCATTGGGAGCGTGGAGTCTTACCCCTGGACCACCAGGGAAGTCCCTGTGTCATATTTTGGATTGCACATATAAATGATATCATATGGTATTTATCTTTCTCTTGGTCAGTGTTTTTTCATACTCTTGGAAAACTTCCTTCAACCACTGCTTTTATCTACTGTGAACGTGTTAAATGAGATTCCATGAAATGTGAGCAACTTACCCGCAGCAATCTATATGTGGTACGTTCAGGAGGCATCAAGGAGGCTAAGTGTTATTAACCTCTTCTTTGGGACGCTTACAGGCTTTGGAGAAAGGGAAATTAAAGATCCTCTTCCAGTTATAATCCTTTCCCAACATCAGCTGATAATAAAAACAGTGTAAGAGTTACACATGGCTGTTGGGGCAGAGCAAGACGTGGGTAGGGGTTGTCATGCAGAAAGAATGACTCATTCATTATGGACATAAGGCTTATGTTAACAAGAGAAGGCTTTCTAGGCATCTGACTCTCCCCACATCTTACTCTGCCTACAGGTCAGAAGAGTAAGTTAAGTTCAGACTTATTGCTCCTGACTTAAGTGCTCAGTCTGGTTTGCTGAAATATGACAAAAGGCTATGTAGAAAGTCAACCAGTCATGCTAGGATCACCCATTTTTTTAAAGTTTGCATTTAAGGGACAGAGCAGCTGATACCCAGAAGGGCATGGCCTAGCATATCCTTGAGAATGCTTAGAACGTTAACAGCAAAAGTAGTCAATGCACAAGAGGGCCACGCTGATGGTGGGAAATGGCTGGAGAGTGCCACGTGTCAGGAAACTACAGCCAGTCGGGAGGCACAAAAAGACCCTCAGGGGTTCCCAGATCAAGTTGGCAGATGAGCTCACACCGAAACCTATACCTCAACCCCAAACATTTTATGCAAATGAGGCATGAAATGTTAAGGACGCTCAAAAGCAAGGAGTGAAGATCTCTGTGGATCAGAAACAGAGCAGTCCTTTTCAAGAGGAACAAAAAGAAAAAAAACAGACAGGAATGATGTGGATAAACAGGCCAGAACAGCATCGTCCTCTGAGTTTGGGGTCTGGGGACAGATCTGGATCACCCATGCAGGGTTGGGGCCAATCATGTGGGGCTGCAGACTGAAGATGTGGACCTCTGAGAAGCAGGGGCTGAGCCTGAATGAATTTAGGATGGTTCCTCTCCTTCACCTGGAGTCACAGAGAGAAGCTGACTGCAAAGGAGGCACCATCACCTCTTTCTTTCATTTGAGAAAGAAAAGAGCAGTCCCTGCTCTCCTGGAATCGGCCTGACTCGCATCATGAGGCTTCAAGGTTATCACCAGCTGGCCTGATGCTCACAGCTAGGCCAAGTTATCCTGTTGAACATAAACAATCTCCTGAAACATCAACACAGACAAGGTCACTCAGAGATCATTAAAAAAAATCATTGTGCAATCCAGAAACACGCCCCCCTCTTGGCTAAAATGAGTCACTACTACTTTTCTACGAATTACAGCTTTATCCTCCTGCTGGGTTTCTCTTCCTATAGATAAGATTTACTGAGATATGCATTCATAGACTTGCCCCTGCTTTCTGACAGCACCCAATCTAGAGCTTCCTTAGGTCCTCCCCCAAACCCGCAGTAGGTCCTTCCTAACATTCTCCTACTGAGACACCCATGGTTCCCCATGGTGAGCGTTCTTCCTAGCTGCAGTAATAAACCCAATTTTTCAATTACATGTATGTTCCTGGTGCTCTTTGGCTGAAGAGTATTAACATTTTTAGGACTTGAACCCAGGCCCACTTCATGCATGTGCCGCCCGGAATTCTGGGAAGCACCAAGCTAAGTCACAGATGCAAGGCTTGGTTTAATGCTGTGCACTTAGGTAGCACATAGGATGCCCCCAAGGCTTTTGGCCTGAGCAATTGGAAGGATGGAATCGCCATTTACTCCAGTTACCTAGAGGAGCCGGTTTAGTGGGGAAGGATAAAAAAATCTCTGTTTCAGACATTTAATTTGTTTATCTAGCTAGGCTACTATTAAAAAAAAGAGACCCGGCCTTCCCTGGTGGCGCAGTGGTTGAGAGTCCGCCTGCCGATGCAGGGGACGCGGGTTCGTGCCCCGGTCCGGGAAGATCTCACATGCCGCGGAGCGGCTGGGCCCGTGAGCCATGGCCGCTGAGCCTGCGCGTCCGGAGCCTGTGCTCCGCAACGGGAGAGGCCACAGCAGTGAGAGCCCCGTGTACCGCAAAAAAAAAAAAAAGGACCCAACCATAATTTAGTATGGGTTAGTGAAGATAGAATTAATTTCATAACTTAATAATAGATTTCATTATCAGTAACATAAACGAGAATTTTCTTCAGCAAGTTAAAAGGAAATGTACCAGATCTATATTAACATTGTTAGATCTCAAAAACAAATTGTAAGATGAAAAAAGCCAGCTGTTGAATGATATGTGCAGTATGACACCATTTATATAACTTAAAAATTTTTTTATTTACTTATTTTATTTTTGGCTGCATTGGCTCTTTGTTGCTGCACGCGGGCTTTCTCTAGTTGTGGCGAGCGGGGGCTACTCTTTGTTGCGGTACGTGGGCTTCTCATTGCGGTGGCTTCTCTTGTTGTGGAGCACAGGCTCTAGGCACTCGGGCTTCAGTAGTTGCGGCACGTGGGCTCAGTAGTTGTGGCTCGCGGGCTCTAGAGCACAGGCTCAGTAGTTTTGCCCCACGGGCTTAGTTGCTCCGCGGCATGTGGGATCTTCCCGGACCAGGGCTCAAACTGGTGTTCCCTGCACTGGCAGGCGGATTCTTAACCACTGTGCCACCAGGGAAGTCCCATATATAACTTTAAAATAACACACAGAACAACGCAATACATTCTTTATGGATTTCTATTATATGTAAGATAACACAGCGCTTCCTATAATGTGCATACGAATCACCTGGGGAACTTGTCGACCAGCAGGCTGTGATTTAGCAGGTCTGGGGAGGGGCCTGAGATTCCACCTAACAAGCTCCCAGAGATGCCAGTGCTATGCCGCCTTGGGAGAGGGGAGATGCAGGTAAAGTGAAACTGTTCTTACTTTCTTCAATTATTTTGCTCTATCTGGATGCTAGAACCTCTCTGTTGTACTTCCGGACACTCATAAAGGTATTCATGTCCATGAGTGGTTGTTAAAATAGGTATGTCTGTGGGGTTATGGGGGCTGGCATTTCCTATTCCACCATCTTGCTAATGTCAACCCAAATCAGTTATCATTTTACCCAAAAGACAGAGAGAAAGACATTGAGTTTTCAAAACTTTTTAATTTTTCTAGAAGATCTACAGAAATCAGGGATCAAATGAAAATTATGGTGGAATTGTTACTGATTTGGGTCCTCGGACTCTTTAATCAATAGAAATTGGTAAGAAGCCAGAGAGGAATTCAAGCATGGCTTTCCTGGGTCTCGTGCTTGCTGCAGCATGAGGGAGTGAAAACAAGAAACAGGTGACCCTGTTTTCTCCCGGAGAGCGGACGAGCTCGTTCCTTAAATAGGATAACAATGGGGGCGGGTCTGCAGGTTGAGCAGGAGGGGCGGCTTAGGTGGTCCGCCCACCCCCGTGGTGGTGCTGTGTGCAGGGATCACGTGCAGTACCCTGCTTTTGCTCTTAGCACCTCAGAAATGGCTTTTTTGTATCTTATTGTTCATAATTACCCTGACTGTGCATGTGTGCAGCTATTTTCAGCCCCTTATGGTTTCTTTGTATTCTGTTGTGGGAGGAGACATTTGTCCAGGTTGCACCTGGAGCAGGTTGCACTGAAGCAAAGGGTGCCAGGTCCCAGTCCATCTTGGAGTCAGCCATCGTTGGGAGCTCTACGGTTTCCTGGTCCACTTTGCTCAGGGATGGAGGGCCAAGCTCACAGCCAAGTCCCATACGGCAGGGGTCCTCAACCCCCTGGCCAGGCCGTAGACCGGTACCAGTCCTCGGCCTGTTA